GGGTGGGGGGGAATGGGGCGTGTGCCCAGGCCATACAGTGGGGCCAGATGCAGGATTGATGGCCTGAAAAGAGTGCTGAATTTTTGTTCCACATGCTTAAAAATGCAGAGAGTAATGTTGAACTTAAGGGTTTAGATGTAGATTCTCTGGTCATTGAGCACATCCAGGTGAACCAAGCTTCCAAGATATTGGACAGATCCTACAGAGCTCATGGGCAGATGGATACATAAGCTCTCCCTGCCACATTGAGATGATCCTTACTAAAAAAGATCATACGGTTCCTAAACCAGAAGAGAAGGTTGCACAGAAGACAAAGAAGAAACTGAAGAAGCAAAAACTTATGGCCCGGGAGTAAATTCAGCATCAAATAAATGCTAAGAAAAGTAAAAGCAGAAAAAAAATAAAAAGAGTAAATGACACTGAAAATTTTGAAAAACTGAAAAGTATAAAGAAGAAAATCTCTGATCGCACAATTCAGGGACACCTTCAACATTGCTCTTGCCTTTCAGTCTCTTTTCTAAGCATATGTGTACACACAGCGATGTGCATGTTTCCTATTTTACATTATTACTGTCATTTTGTATTGATGTCCATTTTGCCTTTCTCCAAGCTGTTTTTCCCCATCTTATTTTTCATTTTGGTTTTCTGTCTGCATGTCTTCTCTTTCTGACTTGTTCTGTTTAACGTTTTTGTTATCCCTGGTTCTCTTCTAGTCCTCACCTGTACTTGAATTAAAATAACAGTCTTAAGAAGATTTTAGTTTACTATTCTTTTACATTTAGTTGATGTTGGCTGTGAATTAAAGTGCAATTTGTCTTCTAAAATATTAGCATTCTTTTCCTGAATGGTTTGTCATTTCCTGCAGGAGGCCTATGTATAAGGCTGCTGGCTACATCTGGAAATCAGCTACTGCTATCAGTCTCTGTATAACTTTTCTTTTTTTCTTTCTTGTACTCTGTATGTTTAGCTGCTTAGGTTTAATCTGTCTTCTAGGGCCTCGTGAGGAACATTGCATATATTTTTTCTGTTCAGTTTCCTTGGGGCTGCCGTGATACACAAATTTATTTTATTTGTACCTGAGACACTGTATAACATTCTCTTCTTTTAGTTTTGATGTGGACTTTTTCTGTGTTCCTGTAGCCCCTGAGTTTCTGTGGTCACAGCTCATTCCACACTTGAACTCCACACTTGAACTGCTGGTAGTACTGCTGTCTCTCTTGCTTGAGTATAATATACACTCCTTGAGGATTGGGGCCAGGTTTGATTTGCCCACCACTATATTTATAGTACTTAATGTTATTACCTTGTACATAGTAGTCACTTTTAAAATTACATATTTCTTCAAAGCATTTTTTTCACAGTTTAACCACTCTGAAATTAGGATGCACCTCACAATCAATGGCATGTTTAATTGGGAGCTGTTTTTTCTTCCTTGGTAGTTCATATAGTAATATTGATTCTTACAATCAATGGTAACTTACCTGAAATGTGGTACCTATTGAGTGAATAAATGCTACATTTTAGGATTATTTTAGAGATTATTCCAATTGCTTACGATGTAAACCTTCTACAATTTAAGTGTCTAATTTTATCAATTAAGTTTCTCCTTGGGATTTGTGTATTAGTTAACTATTAGGAAATATATGATGCACTCTCAATGATTGGTATTTGTGTTATCTCTGTGACTTAGAAGTTACTTATAGCTCTTGAACAACCTATGTAGATCAGTGTTATAACTGACATATATCTCTTGGTAGGAAAGAGGGACCCATGTCTTTAAACTGATTGGAAAAATTATCTTTGGCTATGAATTATCTACATAAGACTCTCCGTTGGAGCAGCCAATCAAGGATTGGTCTCAATATTTTGTTACCTGGGAGTAGATGTGATGAACCGTAGTGTCCTGAACCCTGCAAATGTGACAGTTACCAGATTAATGAGAAGCTTGGTAGGCCCCACGATAGAATTTGTATTTTCAGATGTTACTTATTTTTTTCTTTAATATTTCCATTTTTCAGGAAGGAGCTTTGACTGTATCTACTCAGGAAGTAATCAAGCATTCTGATTTATTTTCTTCATCATCCCCCATGGACAAAGGAACCAAAAGTAGAACCAAAACTGTTCTGAGCTTATTTGATGAGGAAGAAGATAAAACAGAAGATCAAAACAGCACCCAGGCTCCAAAGAAAGAAGTAGGAAAGGTGAGCAAAAGCAATAAAGGCTCAAGTCTTTAGAAGGATAAAAAGATTTCATTTCATGGTATCAGTTCTCTCTTGTTGGTTGCTATAGAACTGAGGGTTTCAGTTTCTTTGTATCCTCACCATCACTTTTGTTATATTTTCTTCCAGTCTCTTCTGTTCTCTAGTTTTTGTTTTGTTACGATTATTTTACTGCAATTTTCACAGTTATGGAACTTTTAAGCTTACTTGCTATGTTATACTGGTTTTTATGTATAACTAATAATTAACTATTAGTTTACTTTTAATGTGACCCATCTTGTCAGAAGTGTGTTTTTTGTTTGTTTGTTTGTTTATTTTAATCTGTGATTGTGATACTAAAGAAATAGGGGAGAATTTTAGAATGTTAAGTCTGGGGGTATTATAGTGACAAACCAAATACTGTAAATAATGACTTTCAAATCTCAGATATCTTAGCAAATAAGAACTCATTTGGAATCTGAAGGTAGTGGGATAGAAGGCCGATGGACATAGGGAAAAGTGGATTGGTCATACCTGTGCCAGGTCTTTGGCCTAAGATGCTGACAGGTTAAGGATGCATGCCACTCTGTAGTTTCTAGTATTAAGTCAGTTGCTATCTCTTCTTCTCTTTGGGAATGAGATGGAGAAAACTCGTTTAACTGTGTGTTTTCACCCCTAAAATGTTTCTCATTATGGAACTAAAGGATTAAGTAAAAAGTTCAGACACTGTAGAAAGGTTAAAAGATATCGTTCCAGATTAGGTATGTGTTATCCATATTTATATATATTTCCCCTATTTTTGGTAGCTGCCTAGTATTCCATAGTGTGTCATTCCCTTTTTGATTGGCACTTAGGCTTTGTACAACTTTTAGCTATTGTAAGCAGAACCACAGGGAACATCTTTGTTGTTCCATCTCTGTAGCTGTATGTGATTTCCTTGTGATAAATCATTAGAAGTCTAAATACACATGAACTTCTCTTTTTTTCCAGCGCCCCAATCCTGATGCCCGCCCCAAGAGCACAGGTGTCTTTCAGGATGAAGAGCTCCTTTTTAGTCACAAGCTCCAGAAGGACAATGACCCAGACGTTGACCTTTTCTCTGGCACCAAAAAAACCAGGGTCAGTTCCACATGGTACTCCACATCATAGCTTTATTGTTGTACTAGATATTTTCTCAGCAACTCACCTAGCTCTCTTTGTAAGTTGTTTTTGTTTTGGATATTGAATTTGAGTTTTGTCTGTTCTAGTCATTAGAGCCAAGTGTTGGGAGCCTATTTGGGGATGATGAAGATGATGACCTTTTCAGCTCTGCCAAGTCCCAGCCTTTGGTACCAGCCTTTTGTTCTCAGTACTGGGATATGTGGGAAGGCTTCTGGGAATGGAAATTGATGTCCAGTTATACCATTAAAGAAAATACTCAGAGAATTGTGGTGCTTAATAGTAAATGAATGGCAAATAATGTGCTGATAAGGGCATTCATGTCCTAATCTCATATACTCTAACTAACATTAAAACATTAACTAACTTAGATTCTTTTATTACAGATTCGTTTGATTTTTTTGAGTCGTTTATTAAAGACCAGTGCATGTAATACGGTGACTAAATATTCATGCTTTTCAGGTGCAAAGCTTTAAATCTGAATGTTAGCCTGTATGTGTGTTCCCCTACCCCAGCCCCAGTAGGTTTTATAAGTATTCTCTATTTTCTTTTTATCATAGAGAAGACTCCAGAGAAGTTTAGTCTTTAAAATGCTATTTCTGAAATGCTGCTTTTGAGTTAGTTCAATTATTGTTTGAAGAATGAACTCAGAACCCAGAACTTTTTTT